CTAGTAAGGCCTAAGCTAGAAGTCAGTGCATCTGTAAGGCTCCCCCCAAATTTCCAATGTTAAGGGCTCTCTTCTCACTGGGCATAGTGGTTCACACTTTTAATTCCAGCACTCGGGAAGGCAGAGACAGGAGGATCTCTGTGAGTTCCAGGCCAGCCTGGTCTATATTGCAAGGTCCAGGCTATATAGGGTTACATAGAGAGTTCCTGTCTAAACAAACAAACAAACAAACAAACAAACAAACAAACTCTCAGGGTTTCAATCCTGCTCAGCTTGAACTCAAAGATGCAGTTCAAGCCTGCATCTTTGTCACTTGAGAGGTTGAAACCAGAGAATTATAAATTCAAGGCTAGCATAGTCAACTAGTAAGTTCCTGTCTTAAGATTTAAAAAGCGCCAGACTATAACTCATTAGAAGAGTGCTAACTTAGCATGCAGAAAACCTAGTTCAATCCCTAGTGCTGGAAGAAATGAAGTCCTCTTGCCCCCACCATGTCTAACCTTTTCTCTAACTTTGTGGAACATCTGATGAGCTATAGATTTTATTAGAATGTGTAATGATGCTTGGTTTTTGAAAAAGCAATGTGTTTGTCTAGGGAATTACAGGTATTATCCCAGGAGGTTGAAGCTGATTACGATGTTCAGGCCAAAGAAGAAAAGACATATTATCTTAGGTGAGAAGAGACCCTGCCTCAGCGAGAGGCCTTCGTGCTCGTTTTCTTTGCACCACTTTTTCCTGTCTACAAAAGCCATTTCATCTGCCTGAGCTCCCAGGATGCTCTATCACTACCTTCTCAGGGTTCCAGCCCTTTTAAGAAACCTGATTTCCATCTCACCAGGCCCTTGTCTCGTAAGCACTGGCTTTTGAGAAGTGAACGTACTCAGTCTTGGAATAGAAACAACATGACAAGCCCCAGACATGATAGGGTATGCCTGTAATTCCAGCAGTTGGGAAGTGGAGGATTCACTGGTTGACACCAGCTGTTTGATGGCAATTTCCTCTGAGATAAAACAGTCCAGATTGGAGGGTAGCTCTCTAAGAGGCAGGACATGAAAATTGAGGCAAAAGGATGTTCTAGGGTAGTGGTTCTCAATCCTCTAGCACTGTGACACTTTAATACAGTTCTTCATGTTGTAGTGACCCCAACCATAAAAATATTTTCATTACTACTGTATAAGTGTAATTTTGCTACTGTTATGAATTATAATGTAAATATCTGTGTTTTCTGATGGTCTTAGGCAACCCCTGTGAAAGGGTCAATACCCACAGGTTGAAAAATGCTGTTCTAAAGGGAGGTGAAACATTCTATCCTATAGGGAAGCTTTTACTTTTTACTTTTTATTTTTTTAAGACAAGCTTTCTCTGTGTATCCCTGGCTGTCCTGGAACTTACTCTGAACACCAGGCAGACCTCAAACTCACAGAGATCCACCTGCCTTTACCTCCCAGGTGCTAGGATAAAAGGTGTGGACCACGACCCCCTAGCTGTAGGGAACTTTCTTAAGCACCAACAGTAAATAATTCAAGAGCTCCAGGAAGTCCCTGAAACTGACTAGGTTCACTAGGCCTCTTCCTTCTCAAGCATATATAAACTGCATGGACTGCAGAGAGATCCTCTCAGACAAGCTAAGCTGCCTGGAGGAGGCTCAGAGCACATGGGCCGCCTGAGATACTTTCCAACCTATTAAGTTGCCTACACTTTGTGCAGTGTGCTCCAGTTTTTTGTGAGCTGTCACTCAGGGCTTTTGGTAATGCAAATACCTTTGAGTCATTTCTGTTCCTTTAAGTAATTCCAATAAAACTCACTGCTTCATCAAGTTGGACTTTGGTGGTTTCCTACCTTGAGTGAGTAGACATTTGTTCACATTTTCCCATGAAAAGTATCACACATTACCAGCCTAGGCTATAGCAGGTTCTAGGCCATTAAGAACTTTATAAGACTCTTCTCTCAAAACCCAAATCACAGAAAGAGTAACACAAAGAAATCTTGAACATCACTACCCACTAGACTCTTGGAATTAAAATCATGACTACTATGGTAAGTCTATAAATAAAAGTACTCATGAAAAAAATGGCAACTCCAAATGTTGGTGAGCACATAGTAGTAGAACACACTGATGACAAGAAGGCAAGAATGGTTCTACTGTTGTCATGTGACCAAGTGATTCCACTCATGGAGAAAAGAAGCTATGTGCCATGGAATTCTTTAGGTTAATGTCTAATGTAGCTTTGCTCATGATGGTTCAAATCCAGAAACTATTAAAATATAAACAAATTATGCTACAGCATATAATGGAGTATGACTCAGAAATACATATTATATATAACTTTTACACACACACACACACACACACACACACACACACGCCACATAGATGAATATAGATGAAAAGCATTACCACAAGTGGAAGAAGCCAGCCTCAAAAGTGTGTGTGTGTGTGTGTGTGGGGGGGGGGCTGGAGAGATGGCTCAGAGGTTAAGAGCACTGACTGCTCTTCCAGAGGCCCTGAGTTCAATTCCCAGAAACCACATGGTGGCTTACAACTGTCTGTAATGAGATCTGGTGCCCTCTTCTGGCATGCAGGCAGAACACTGTATACATAATAAATAAATAAATAAATCTTAAAAAAATTAAGTGTGTGTGTGCATGACTCTATTTATATAATATTCTGAGAAGGAAAACTGGAGACAGAGATCTGCTAGTGGCCAGGCTATCGAGAAGGCACAGGCTATGAAGATTCACAAGTGAATATTTTGGAGTGATAGAAATTCTGAGTATCTCAATGGCATGGTGGTCAAAACTTAAATAATTACAACTTAGGAAGAATGAGTTTCTTTGTGTATAAATTATCTCTATAAACTGGAATAGAGAAATGTTATAGCCAATCAATGAGTCATGAAATCAAAACAGTAAGTGGGCTGTGACCAGTTACATCTATTGCTATGAGATTTGTTTCAGTTATGTGGTGTACTGATCATAAAATTTTACTCCAAAGTGAGACACTGGCATGCTGAGTGCTTTAAACTATAACCAAAATGGTATGGGCTGTGACTATAGGAAGGAGAAAGGAAAAAGCTCCACCATTTAAAGGTGAGAATTGGATCTATGAAATAAACTGACAGTAGAGAGGTTCATAAGAGGAAAACCATGTAAATGCACAGTACCACAAACAGACCCCCAAAAAGGGCCAGATTATTGAAATCTATATAGTACCCAAGAAAAAAAAAAGAAAAGAATAGGAGCTGGGGGTCTTCATTGTGTGTGGGGAAAGATCCTTATATGGTAAAAAATGATTATCTCAGGTAATAAAAGCTGTCTAGAGCTATCCCCAGAAGAATGGGTGACAACCTATGATAAAATCTATTTGGGCACTGGGTATAGTGTTCTTCCATCTAGTCTGCGATTTGGTTCATCTTCTGGGTTGAGGACCCAACAGCTAGGGAGCTATTCAAGGCAATTCTGTCTTCGGTTGTATAAGGAATCTTCAGAGAAAGCCCCTGCCTGTACCTGGAAGAAGAACTAAGAGCCAGAAGGGCAGGGGGTCAGAGAGGCATTGGTTTTCTTTTCATTCAAAGCACTCAGCATGCCATGTCACACTTTGGGGAATCATTTTCTGAGCCCCTAGCCCTTTGAGAACAGCGACAGGACTCATGTCTGTATAGTCACCGTCTAACACACAGTAGGTCCAGGCGGACTGATGTAATAAGAACTATGCATCCTGCTCCTGACTCAAGGTCTAGGCCAGAGTTCTAAAATGTTATTTCATTTTGGTGTAATTACTGATCTTGCCCCCATTCCTGAAATACATATGAAAAGGGGCATCTTCCATTAATTTAACAAGCCCTGCCACCACAGTGGGATTATGTCAACAGCCCTTAAGGATATCGGCTGGTTGCCAGAAAACCCAGCTATTAGAGGGTGGAATTTCCACCCATCACCTTCTAGCAGGGACTGGAGAGTGACATTCACCAAGGCTAAATGATTTAATCAGCCAAGTTCACATACTGAAGCCTCCACACTCAACAACAGGATCCTGAATTGGTGAACCCAAGGAGATACCAGGAGGGTGGGGCACCTGAGGGAAAGAAACTGCCAGCCTTTTCTCTATACCAGGCCATGTGCACTTCTCTGGCCTTTTCTGAATTATCCTTCTACAATAAGCTAAAAATCTACTAAGTAGACTGTTTTCATGCATTTTGCAGGTCATTCTTACAAATCACCTGGCCTGGATAGGAGGTCACAGGGACGTCTGATACAGTCAGCTGGTTAAAAAGCACTCGTGACAACTTACAGTTACAACTGGCATCTGAGGAAGGAAGGGCAGTCCTCTCTGAGCCTGTAGGGTCTGCACTAACTCTATGAAGACAATGTCAGAGAATTATTATGTGTGAGGAAACCCTATGTGTTTGGTGTTGGTGTAGGAGGGTTTTTTTTTTTTTGGCGGGGGTGGATTGAATAAGAATAACCCCCATAGGCTCATATTGAATATTTAGTCATCACATAGTAGAACTGTTTGAAAAGATTAGAAGGATTAGGAAGTGTGGCCTTGCTGGAGGAAGTGTTAGTGGGGTAGGCATAAGGATTCAAAAGCTCAAGGCAGGTTCAGTTTCTCTCTCTCTCCCTGCTGCCTGTGGATCAGAATGCAAAGCTCTAAGCTCCAGGGCGGTGCCTGTCTGTGTGCCTTCATATTCCCTGATGTGATGATAATGAACTAACCCTCCAAAACTGTAAGCAAGCCCTCCAATTAAATGTTGTTCTTTTTTAAAAATAAGTGTTGCAACCAGGCAGTGGTGTTGCACGTCTCTAATCCCATCACTCAGGAGGCAGAGGCAGGTGGGTGAGTTCCAGGATGACAGCCAGGGCCTCACAGAGAAACCCTATCTTGAAAAACCAATACAAAAACAAACAGATAAGAGTTGCCTTGATTATGGTTCCTCTTCATAGCACTAGAACAGTGACTAAGATGGGGTAGGGGTGTAATTCAGTGGTAGAGTACTTGCCTGGCATGTGAGGCCCTGGGTTCAGAAAGTGATGCTTAAGGGTTGAGTTGTATAGCTCAGGAGCATCTCCCAAATATATGCAGTCTTGGTTTCCATGTCTAGCACTACAGACAGACAAAGCTGGTAAGGAAACAGTAAGCAACAGAAGACATTAATAGCCTCAAAAAGTCTGAAACCTCTTGAAGCATTTTGTTCAAAGCATACTGCTCTGCAAACTGCTTGGTAGGCCAGCAGCTGCTACCTGCTGTTGGGCCTCATTTATCACTTGGTAACTCTTTACTCATTTTAATTAATTTCTTTTAGTTTTTGGTGGTGGGGATCAATCTAGAATCGTCATGCATGGTAGGCATGCATTCTAACACTGAGCTACATCCCCAGGATTCATTTATACACACACACACACACACACACACACACACTTATTTCTGTGTTGTGGGAGATAAAACCCATGACATTGGGAATTCTAGACCGTCTCTATCACTGTGCTACATCCTCAGCTGTACTCTAATAATGATATATGGAAAAGCACAAAGAATGAGTCTGTTGTGCTAAATGTTTTCCTCCATGCCTTTACAAGCACACGTTGAGGTGGTCCAGGACACATCACCCTCAAATATGACCACATAAAGCCAGAATACACCATGTCCCCTTTGGCATATTGATTGTTTAGTTATTTTGAGAAAGTGCAGACACAGGAGCAGCTCTGGACAGATACACTTGTAGAAAGGGAATTTGCAAGTACAAAGCAAACTCATTAGGGCTCAGAAGAGAGCTACTCGGAGACTGCTATGGTCATCTGAGACTGTCATCCATATAAGAAGCCAACCCATATTCATTACACATTTCCTCCCCCTACTTTCCCATAATTCCCCACCACTGTCAGAAGCTCAAGCTTTTCTTTCTCTAGCTCAGGATGCTGTATAAACTTAATCACAAGTTCTTTGAGCTTCATGTCTGTGGACCCCCAAATGTGTACATACTAACCAAAATGCGGTTTCTCTTGTTTGATGCTTCAGCTATCCTAGACATCTAAAATCCATTTTTCTTTCCTACTATTACCCTCTCCAGTTTGCAGAGGAGGGAAACTGAGACTCAGAGAGGGCAAGAGATGCTCAAGGTCACCTATCTCGTCAGTGGAGGAGCTGAGATCTGAATCCTGTACCAAATCTCACACCTCGTGCTCATTTCCTTCTATCACAGGACCCCAGTGTGCAACAAAAGCAAGAGATACCCACATCCACATGCTCGGTGTACACAGTTGGAGCTGAGGACAGGAGAACAAAGTCTCAGGATGATGAACAGCTCTTGCACAATGCAGGTGTCCACTCAACAATCAAAACCTTTCTATAACAACCCAGGACTGAAAAAGCAACATACAAAAACCAGGTCTTTAAAGGCCAGATTCAAAAGGTAAACAAGGATGCAAACTGAATCAGGAAATAGAAGCTCCAAGCAACAGCCCCTGTGTGTGAATGCACAGTTCTCTGATGAAGGTTTGCCCAGCCTTTTGAAACACAGGGGAAAAAAAACAACCAACCAAACAAAACAGCCTTTCTCTCTTTCTGGGCAAACCACCAGCACCAAACCAGGAGATGGTGATGCCTTGATCCTTAAGAGCACTTGACAGGGCAGTGGGTACCCCACCTGGCTCTGTGGGAAGGGGTAATTTCAATCCAGGGCCTGAAAAACACCATCTGCAACCTTTAATTAAGACCCCTGAAATAGAAGTCTTTGAGATATTCCATGAGAGCTGTGCCTTATAAGTCCCAGTCCTTGCAGACTCCAGGAGGATACTTGTATGTAGCCAACTTGTTTGTAGGTGTGTTAAATATAGTGGCCTCTTTAAGATCCAAGGAAAGTATTACCTCCACTTTACAAAGGGAAATTGAGGAGATTTGATCACTTGCCCAAAGCAGTGGCAGGCTGTGTGTATAGGCTACTCTGTCAGCAGGGCATGCCCTCTGCAGCCTCTGGGAGTGAAGGCCTTCGCCTCTGTAGGTGTTTTTACATCTGCCACCTCAACTCCATTCTGATCCATATGCCAGGACAGAGAGTGAGTATTTCCTGAGTGAACTATGACATGCTCAGAGCCATGTGAGGCACCACTTCCCTGAGGATTACTTCATTGTAATGGCATAGCGGTAGTATGATTATCATCCCGGTTCTAGAATTATAAAACCAAAGCCCAGAATAATGATGACAGCTACTTAAGACCACATACTGAGAGGAGGCTGGGTTGGATTTTCAAATGACAACTCTTGAGCCTGTGTCCTGGCCAGTAGCAGAAGCCACAGTATTTTACTAAGGGCCAAAGACAGAATTTGAATAAGGCTTACAATGCTTCTGAGAGGAAAACAAAAGACAGTGATTGATTGATTGTGGTGCTAGAGATCAAACTAGGACTCTGTCACTGCTGGGCAAGTGCTGTACCACTGAGATACTGAGCCCAAACAAAAGATATCAAGGTTGTCCTAAAGTGATAATAAGGGCTAGTGATGTTGACCCTGTGATGTGCTATCAGTGAGGAGCAACTGTTGTAACAACTATAAACCTACTATGCAATAATCCCTCTCCCCTCTCTGTTTCATTCAGAGAGCCTAGAAATAATCTATAACCCATGAACACAACTTCATGGGTCTATCTAGATATCTGCTACAAGAAGAAACAAGGGCTTCCTGGAGAAATGGATGGTTCCTGGATTTTTAAGGGAAAGTTCCAGGTGAGTCTGGAACTTCTTTTGCCAGATAACAAAGAACAAAGACTAATAAGTTCACAACAGTAGCTGGCCTCAAGGGTAGGTTTAGGATAATTTGAGTATCAAAAGTAATAATAACATTAATAGATTTTAGCACACTGATTTTTTCAAAAAATTACTGCATAATATTACTGCAAAAAGAGAAAAAGGGTTGAGGGGAACAGGGAGTGAGAAAGAAGAAAATGTTTTTCTAAAGGAAGGAAGGAATACCAGGCTGGTAGCAGGCCTGGTGCCAGTCTTATTTCTTTTCCTGTTACTGTGATAAAATGTCCTGATAAAAAGAACCCCAGGGAGGGCTTAATCTAGACTAATGTTCCAGGTACAGCCCAGCATGGCCAGGAGTCAGGTACCTGCAGCACAGCACATGGTCACACTACATCCACAGCCAAGAAACAGAACACAATGAGCTGCTGCTCAGTTCTGCTTCTCCATTTGTATAGTAAGGGAACAGTCCCACCCGTCATCAAGATGGGTCTTGTGGCTGGATATAGTGGCAGATGCTTTTAATTCCAGCACTCGGGAGGCAGAGGCAGGCAGATCTCTGAGTTTGAGGCCAGCCTGGTCTACACAGTGAGTTCTAGGACAGCTAGGGCTACATAGTGAGATCCTGTCTTAAAACAAAACAAAAACAAAAACAAAAAACCCTATAAAGATGGATCTTGTGGCTGGAGTGAGAATGTTGTCAATAGGCTCAAATGTTTGAATACTTGGTCTCCAGGTGGTGGTGGTGTTTGCACAGGTTTAGGAGGTGTGGCCTTGCTGGAGGAAGTATGTCACAGAGTGGGAGGTGGGGGTGGGCTTTGAGGTTTTAGGAGCCATGCTCCCTTCTCAGTCTGCTCTCTCTGCTTCCTACTTGCGGTTTAAGATGTGAGTTGTCAGCTGCTCCTACTGACAAGGTGGAATTCTCTCCCTCAGAATAAGCTCAAACAAAGTGCCTTGGTCACAATTAAAATAATGAAGATAATCTCCCATGGCATGCCCAGAAGCCTACCTCCCAGATGATTCTGTCAGGTGGACAATACCACCAGCCATCACAGTGGTATAGGCCTGTTTTCCCAGTACTTGGGAGGGAGTGATAGGAAGAGCATGAGTTCAAGGCCAGCCTGGTCTACAGGAGACCCTGTCTCAGCTTTTTCACCGAAAATGAACACCAACTAATATAGAAGGAATGGTAGAATTAGAAAAATACCATTTTGTAGCCTTCAATGTTACAATTCAGGCAAAGATCGTCAGTGGATGTGGCATGGTAGGAATATATACTCTAGGGCAGTGGTTCTCAACTGTTCTAATGCTTTGACCCTTTAATACAGTTTCTCACGTTGTGGTAAACCCCACCTATAAAATTATTTTCATTGCTACTTCATAACTGTAATTTTGCTACTGTTATGAATCATAATGTAAATATGTGTTTTCTGATAGTCTTAGGATCATTTGACCCCCAAAGGGGTTGAGACCCACAGTCTAGAGATTTGTGTTACTGGCATTTTCCCTGTTACCATGGAGACATAATGCTGTCATGATGTTAACTACTAACCAAATGCTTCATGGAGGGCCTTCATATCTACCTTCCAGAGTGATGGAATCAGAAGTACACATTACCAATAAGCCTGAAACAAAAATAGCCAAGATCTAATCATTAATGGACTAATCAAATATGCATAAAAGGTAAGATGATTTGCCGCTGAAAGAAATGCTAACAAATACAGTATGTGGATTGTGACTGCATCAACAACTAAAGATTTTCAGTGAAGGGCAATCTGGAAAAAATTGAATAGCAAGTGCTAATTTGGTAACTATTATGTAGGAGAATCCCACTATTAGCTTCTCCTCTATATATATATATATATATATATATATATATATATATATATATGAGAATTTTCCTAGACAAGGTCTAGAACCCAGGCTGGCCTGGAAGCAATTTGGGATCAGTGTCCCAAATGCTGGGATAACAGGCATGTGCCACCATGCCTGGCTAAGATATTCACATTCTTTTCTTCTCTCTCTCAGCTCACTCTCAATTTCTCTCTCCTTTTGTGTGACAGGTTTACATAATGCTGCCCTGCTCTAGCTGGTCTGGAGCTCTTAGGCTCAAGTGATCCTCTTGCCTCAGTCTCCTGAGTAGCTTGGACTACAAGCTACCACACCTGGCTTGTAAGTTAAAGTAGCAGGGGGATGTGTGTGCGTGTTTACATGAAAGCAAATGCAGCCAAGCATGAATAGATGAATGCAGGCTGTACTTGGAGTTTATTATAGGTTTGGCATTTGGAGGCTAAGAGAGGTCAACAAGGTCCAGAGTTGGGGAAGTGTTTGAGTGGAAGGTCCTTCTCGATGGACCTGTGGGAGATGTCCGAAGGGAAAAGCCTGCCTATATTCCACATTGGAATCCAGGCTTTGAGATATGGCTGCTTGGGCCTTGTTTCTGCCACTTCCCCCTGAGCCTAGAATCTGCTGCTGTTAAGTGGC